TTGTTTCGCATTTTAAGGTAAGAAATCGACATTTGAAACCGACAGGGTGTCGATTTACTCGGTGCCGTGTTTCACAACTTGTTTATTTATATACGTATAGCGGATGATTTTTATTGAAAATTAGTATTTATTGATTTTCAGCCCCCAAGTGACTGTGGTGTGAACCTGTTCAAATTGTACACTGTTTAAAGCCACATTATGGGATCTTCCTGACCAGAAATTTTTTGTTGGAATATTGGCAAAAAATCAGTGCCGTATTCTTCTAGCAGGAATCCACTCATGCAGAATTATTTGTTGATTGATAGAGTACCAATAATTTACACAGATATGGCAGTTACTCCAAAACTGGAAGCTTGCCAGATAACAATTGTGCTACAGCGCAGCTTATGCTATCTCACATTGAATATTTCTGAAACATACCTCTACTCAACAAAAGTGGTTAATCAATATTTCTTAATTTTTTTTATTATTATTTTGAAAGCTCACTTCGAATCACCTTGACTTCAAGAGATGTTCTACTGTCAGTTCAATGTGGCTTCTGGCTGGGCGAAGTCTAAATGTACAGATTATTATCGATGTTACACTTTTCAGTTTATAGTTATACACGGCGCATGTAGAATATATACATACCTGTCCGATTCGTTTTCATCATCCGTGATACTTCCTGTTGACAGACTTCCGACACTGCTGTGTGATAACACAGACAGTAACGATCTCGTCGAATCCCCTGTAGAATCAAGCGAATACGATCTGTGTGTGGATCTCCTCGATCCACCGCTTCTTTTCGGTGATTCGTCGGTTCGCATAAACCTTCGTGGGTTGGGAGTTGAGTGTGGACGAGTTTCGATATCCAAGCTTTCATCCATATTTTCTCGTTGTAGGGTAACGTCCGTTAGCAACCGTTAGCGTCCTTCGTTGCTCGATCAACGGTTTTGTCAATGAGGCAATTCTTCTACTAGGAGAGAAAGTTGGACGAATATGCAATAAAATCGACACCAAGCGATAAAATACGCTAGTAGGTTCGATAAAAAGCTACGGTATCGCAATAGAATGTCGAAATTATGAAGTAAACAGTTTCTGTTTTTTTTCCGGAACGTACGCCCATTTGGATCTTGGATCGAAATGTTTCAAAATGGCGCCTAAACCAAGATCTCACGAGAGATAGACGTGAGCGTGATTTCTTCCCACCAAATACTTGGCAGAGAGATAAAACGAATGTATTTAAAAATAAAAACACGTCCCTCGAACGTACAAGAATCAGAAAATGTTGGTATGCATCACATTTACTGCATTCTCTGGAAAGTATCGTCAGTTGAGATCATTTAATCAATCACGTGAGTATTTGACCTTTGACCCTCCAGGTGATTTCAAAACAACTTCCGCACTTTTCGTGGGACAGTGTAGCTGCTATCAGTGACAAACCAGGTGACCAGCACCAGAAAGATCAAACACAGTCACAAAACCGGTGACTGTGGTCCAAGTTACTTTTAGACCAAAACTGTGTTGTGTCGAGCCATGTGTTTATGATCAACTTAACAGAAACTATGATTTGGATAGTTCTACTGACGTTCCTTATTCCAGTATCTCTGACGTTTTGGGCGTTCAGTCTTCGTCTCAATACTTATTATGGTAAAGTGTTATTCTGTTTGTTATAGAAGTTCCGAGTTTAATAATAATATCACGAAACGTGCCCGCTGATTAATACAGCAATTCCACGCTGAAGTAGTGCTAGATGTTGATAACTTACTACAATAGGTTACACAGTTTGTTTTCAGAAGTTGTTACAAATAATGCAGACAGCATGTCTGCAATTTGAAGCGGTATCAGGACGATCCGGCCCTGGTCGGTTGCGGCCCTGGTGAAAAAAAAGACGATCCGGCCCTGGTTTGGACGTTCCGGCCCCAAAACAGTTTGGTCGATCCGGCCCTGGTATAAATTATATTCGATACGTGTTCATATCTAATGTTAATATATTAAATGCACAACAAATGATTGACTATCTTGTTTAACAACTTATTTTTCGCTTTGCAGGGAATTTTTTACGGTTTAACACCATATTTACACTGTGCAAGTGGACATGTGTGGCCCGCAGACAGATAACTAGAATACACATCTAATACAATCCGTTTCAGTCAGGGTTCGAATACACATTTGTGGTTTGTGCTTCTGGGTCCGCATTTTTGTTGTTCATTTGAATGTGTTTCCAAGGGGAATTACGTGAATGAATTAAATACAGAAGTCGGAAAGTAACAATGTAGCAAGATGCCTCACTTTGTGGCCATGTTAAATGCACGACTTCTCGTACTTTATATGCAAAATTACAAACAATGACCTGTTGGTTGGCGGCAGATCATTGTTTAAAGAAAAAAATTCAAGGATAAAAGAAGGTGTTAACAACTTGAATGGATGTAAGTACGTGACTCAGTGTTCTCCACAAGGGGTTTTAGGCGGGCGGCCCGCCCATCAAGTTTTACGGCCGCCCAGTAACTCTCAACACCCGCCCACCAACGTACATCCAGCTGAAATTATTTGTAAAAAGCTTGCATTGTTCTTCCCAAGCCTAAACAAAAGAGTAGTTGCCCAACCCTTTATTTTTCTATTGTTTCAAGAGTCCAAACATAAACAATGTCCATTGGAAGTCTGCAAGCAGTTATCAAGTATATTCATGGCAATGTGTCAATCGCCTGAATTCATTGTCGCCCGACATTGCGCAACTACAGTGGTTTCAATTTACAGCTGTATTTTTAATAATCGTCTTCCGATCACGAAAGAAAGAAGTAAATACGAACGAAATGGATATGCACAGAAAATAAACAAATATATTAGCAGATTGCATGTAAACTCGAGCAGAGGCTCGTGCATGCGCAGCTCCATCCATGCGCAGTTCCAAACATTTACGCATGCTCGGGCCTCTGCTTCAAATATACAGCGTAGACGGGTTGATTCATATTGCTCTGGTGTTTCGATTTTCACAGGATTTAACCCGTTTTAGTTCGAATAAAGGAAATGTAAGTCGATCGATAGTTTCTACCGATATCATGCTTGAGTTATGTGAAGTGAATCAAAATATAATTTGGAAAATCGTGTTATTTTCGGGAAGTTTCGATGTCATGGTGTCAACGCTTTCCTACCTTGTGTTATTATATGAGTAGTTGGGAAATTTACCGGCTACTGACTAACTATGCCGATCCCACTTTAGGTCATTTTGTATTAGCCAAGAAACGTTCCGAGCGCCTGTGGGCCGTACATGCGTAAATGCATCTTACCGTCCATCGGCACGGGTGAGTACTGATGCCACAAATAAAAATGTTATGGATTTTGTTTTGACAAATTGCCCGTTTTGGCTTCATGGGCAAATCATCTCGTATATTTTCTACATTATAACTCAATTATGTTTTGTACTTGCTCTTGGTTACTCGAATTGCATTTCATGAACGCAGAATAATTTGCGAACGCATAAATCACCGATTTCAAACTTTTTGCATTTCGTAAATATTGATAGTGATCAATCTGTTTGTATTTCAAAAAATTGTAACATGTTCCAATTAAAGTAAATTAAAAAGAGAATAGTAAATAACTTAGTGTGTATTGCAGTTCATGTCATAAATGCAAGAATGCTGTATGTAAATGATATGCAAATTGATATGCAAATTTATGCTAATTAGGCCGCCCACCAGCTAATTTGGATTGTGGAGAACACTGTGACTGATGATACCGCCTGTACGTAAGTGGTCAATATTATGAACAATTAATATGTCGTTCACTCACACACTCATACCAGGGAGCAAAGCACAGTTCAGTCATTCTGATTCAGTCTAGCTATCAGTTAACTGCTAAGAATTCTATATCGCCTGCTCTCTGAGAATTTTATATTTCTACATCATGTTAAAATCGCTATATCAGTAACCACTTATAATAAAAAAAATCGTCACATGTTACGGTACGTCGCATTATACAAGTGCCACTGATAATACAAAAAATCGTTACTGTACGTCGCTTTATATAAGTCCCACTGATAATAAAACAATCACCCCATGTTACGGTACGTCGTGTTATATCAGTCCCATTGATAATTAAAAAAAATACAGCCAAAACAAGGTCAGCTTGGACGTTCAGCTGCGTGACATAACAAAAAAAACGCAGCCAGTGATACATTTTGAAAATAAAAATACAAAATAAATGCAATCAGAGGCGCCGACCACGTGTGTTGAAAATAAATAGAACGCGTTATGACACAGTCTCACCAGCCTCTTTCACTCACGCAATATAATTATGCTATTTCCCAACGCACTTATATTTAATACATTGACGAAAAAAACTACAAGAAAAATGTGAATCAGGCTTGTAATTACTAGTAACTCAACTTGAACGCAAAAATCGTCCCATGTTACAGTACTTCGCATTATACTAGTCCCACTGATAATAAAAAAAATCGTCCCATGTTACGGTACGTCGCGTTATATCAGTCCCGCTGATTATAAAAATAACTCAAACTAGGCAAGGAAATGTTACAAATGAATGCAATTGAAAACAACAGATTTAATGCTACATTGCGTTTGCTGGATACTAATTACGTTGATTAGAAAAATGGTTCACTGCACTTGTTACTATTTAAATATTTGTGTGTGCTTTGACACCTTGTCGCTAGAGTCAAGTGACCTGTTTGCTACACTCCTCATTACCATTTTTAAATGATTGTGTGTACTTTGACACCATGCCCGAACGGAAGATGTGTACGGATGGCCCTTGCATTGTGCTAAAATGTAAGTGTTAATTGGCTGCATTCTTACCATGAACTCTGATAAGTGCTACAAAAGACGAAAAATAAGTTGTGAATAAGATAGTCATACATTCGTTGTTCATTTAATGTATTAACGTTCATTACGCGACAAACCACGAATGTGCATTCGAACCCTGACAAAAACAGATAGTATTAGATGTGATTCTAATGTCTGTGGTTCACGCAGGCTGCGGCGAATAAATGAACATACATCTGTTGCACTGTCAAACACGGTGTTAAATCGTGAAAAATGCCCTGCAAAAGACGAAAAGTAAGTTGTTAAACAAGATAGTCAAACATTCATGCATTTAATATATTAACATTAGATACGAACACGTATCGAATATAATTTATACCATGGCCGGATCGACGAAACTGTTTTGCGGCCGGAACGTCCAAACCAGGGCCGGAGCGTCTTTTTTTTTTACCAGGGCCGGATCGTCTAGAAATCTTTGAAGCGCACCGAAAGAAAGCTCCGCCCATAAAAGTAACGGTACATTAGTTTTGAATTTCTCTTCTAATAAACGATCGAGGCTCTCAACTTAGTTTCATACTTCATTTTGCGTCACATGTTATTTCAGTGAGAGGGGTGCATAATGTAAAGAACGTTATTTTACAGAACCAGCTGACCGACTGATCATGACAGAACTATTGATCAAAGTGCATTATTCGTACTATGGAAATATCCGTATCACGCTGACGTATATAACTGAAAGTTGCCTGCAACAAATGTCCTATGGAGACTTCATCCAGTATATCAATAATGAATTTAAATACATAAGTAGAATGGATGTTATTCGATTATTAGTTCTTGACGATGAGAACCAAAAGATTGATGTGCCACCAAATAATCGCTTTAAAAGCTTATCACTGGCAACACACACATCTGGGGAGGGTTGCCACCGTACATACACAAGTAGTTTTTGTCGAATTTCCCATCCATAAATGCGTGGTCGCAATGTTTTATAATATTAAACATAGTCTTTAACGTTGTCAGTCGCTCTTACGCTTTCATGGCAGGATACTCTCGGTGGTAACAAACCATTTGACGATATTATAAGCTGTCTGCTTTGAAACACCATTTAGATCTCCAATCTCAGCAAATGACAGTCCACGAAAATACAAATCGACAACTCTTGTTCTAACTTCAACTGTTTTTTTGACTCCTTGCTTCTCCATCGTGCTGTTTAAACAACTTGACGAATGCCGATTTGTAGACACGCAATCAACACGATGACTGACCAAAGTGACTAAAAGACAGACGCGCCTCAAAGTCTAGGGGTACCTGACTTTATAGCAAAAATAGAAAACATTATGCGCAATATCTGTCAATCATTTCTCTGATTTGCAGCCGATGTTTATATTTCTAGTTACAACTTATGTAAATGTGAAAACAAAGTGTGTAACCTATTGTAGTAAGTTATCAACATCTAGCACTACTTCAGTGTCAAATCAGTGCCTGGAATTAATACATACATCAATTCACCAGTATGCGTGTACTAAAATTGCTCGTGGTTTTAGCACAAAAGTAAAAATATTTTCATTTTATTTTTATTTCTACGTATTTGATATTATATTAATACAAAGATGAAAATAATAAATTGAAAATATGTACTGTAATCAATTTGGGGAAATCGATCAATACAGTGAAAATAACATTTTTTGTATGGTGCAGGGCATTTTACCATTGCTTCTCTTTGGCAAGGATATATACCTATACCTATACATAATAATAATAATAATAATAATAATAATTTCATTTATTACACCATAATGAACAAATCATTTTAGGCTATTATGTAATACATAATATCAACATTTTGCCCTGTGAAATTAGAATATATAGTGTTCTACAGGGCAATTTTTGATGGCTAAATAGAACTAAAAAATTCACAATATTTTTGTAGGGTTTTTTATCAACAAGTGTATTTTTATTGAGTTCTATGAAAACTGCTTATTACTTGACCATTTCACAGATAGACATTGAACCAAAAAAGTTCACCTAATGTTGACTGGTACGAATAATTGTAGACAGAATTAGATACAAAATATTGTCACTGCAAAGAATCATGGGACCAATTATACAACTTCCTGTAATTGAAAAATATCATTTTGTGTATACTGTAGTTAATTTTCTCAAAATACACTTAGAAGCCGCATCCCCTCTGTTGCATTGTACCATTTTAATAGAAGCCGCTGCTTCTAATACAGATTTTACAGTAGTGTGTTACAGTAACTTTGATTTCTTATACACAAGAATTGCACCAAATTTCGCCGAGTTAGAAATTTAATTGAGATTTCTACATATAAATTACAGTATATTACTGGTATAGATAAGTTGTTGATTTATTTGCTTGGTTGAAACTGCACAATTACTCCTTTGTTCCACTCCTTGATATCCGATTCCATGGCAGTGTTTGAGTGGACAACTGAAGATAGATTGTAACTAGTGTCATAGGTCAAGGGTTATTACTTATTAAATTACAAGATTAGTTGTAAACCAGTGTTACGGTATACAAAGTTTCACAGCAAATTCACAAGGAAACAACAATTCAGTTTTTAACAACAGTGGTTATAATGTCATTGTCACACGCAAAGTAATATTACCGTAATTGGTATAGTACAGGTGTGATGGTTCAAATACCAAAATGGCAACAGTAACAGAAAGACTTCCCTGGCGGCGATGATAAAATACGAACACGGAGCCAATAGATGAGGTTTCAACTGGTACTGGTATTATTATACTCTGCAAACATCAAGTACAATAACGTGGTTAAACTCCACTACTCCAATAACTAGATACTTAAACTTCAATACAATTCAACGAGATCCCCGATCTGATCTCAGTGCTGAACAACTCCCCTATATATACCCACACTGTCTATAAATAGACCATTACATCAGCATACATAATGAGTCTGGAATTTACTATAAATTTCTAGAATGTTCCATTATCTTCTATTGCCTCCTACAGTGTTCTATTACCTATTCAACCAGTTTCTAAACAAAATCTAGAATATTCCACCCAGACACAGTACGGTTTTAGAACATTCTCAGTGACACGGGAGTGGTAAATAAGTCGTATGCAACAGTCATATAATGTCATACTGATGTCATTACCCACAATTCTTTGCTGGAGAATCAACATGCTGGACTACATAATAGTGATGAAGGTCTCATGCCACTAATCAACCAATGCCTTGCAAGAACCAATGAAATTTTTTAAATATTTTTTTTCTCAGGTGCTCCTTGTTTGAGTGTGTAATCACCTGGGTCAAAGGTGAGACCAACATGTGGTCTTTTGTTTACTACTTAGTGGCTGTGTACCTGTGGGTTTATTCTGTGTGTATTTGGATGTTCTAATCTTAGTGTTTTTCCAGTGATTTCTCAAGGTGCAATCCAAATACAGTAGGTGTGTCTTGTTTACCTGAGATTTGTAAGAGTTTGAGCTGGCCAACATGTTAGTTTTTTTTTCATATGGTTGTTTACTTGCATGTTGATTTCCCATTTTTGAGCCATGTTTTCAACTTTCTTCATCATTTTCATATAGCAATCTCGTCATATGTTAACATTGTCGTCTATGGAAATTCAATTAGTGGTATGAGCCCTGAAGAGTTGAATCTCCAGAGAATGCAAAATGATAATTGCATTCTCCTACCTTTGTGGAGCTCTTTCTTTTTGGATCATTATCTTGTTTCCTGGACTTGTCTCTTCAAGGGAGACAGTTGTCACACCACAATCTGTTCGATGTGGACTCATAGCGACGTATACAATCCGTGTAAAATACATTGTTTATTTACATGAAATTCGAACACACGCTGCACGACGACCACCACGCTTTAAACTAACCACAGTGGCCCGGTATCTGTGTGTGACTCTCCAGTAGCAGAAAAACATGCTTTACAAAACTATTTTGCATAATAATATGGTTAAAAAAAGGTCTAGGGATTGGATAATAATTTTGTAACAATCTTTTCTCTTTTTTTTTCACAGCATCGGTGCATCCTGTATCACCATGGCGATTTCTCTTTGCATTTCTATTACCAATTTACTTCACAAGAACTGGTCTGAACAAGAAAAGTTTGGATGTCAGTGGTGCCGTTGCCGGTAAGATTACGTAATTTGTATAATAACAGTGTTTAAAATTACTGCCCTCCAGAGGTATGTATGGAGGTCTAAAAACTAACTCTGCGACACGATTGTGCGACTCGCCGAATGTCGATTATTGCACTCTGCGACAGGAATGCAGTGTCACTCTGCGAAGAGCACAATTCCCATTAGTTGGTTGGTCGAAAAGCGCAATACTCAATGGTCGATCGATGTAAGGGTACACAGCATGCCTTATAAAAATGTTCAGTTTTAAATGGTTATTTCGCCGACTGCTTACGAACTACGGTAAACAAGTATTTGAAAGGGGATGAAATGGGGTTACAAAACACATGCACGTTGGTGTTGGCTGCCTTATTACGGTGTAACATCAGGGAGCTGGTAACATTAACGCCATCTTGAAGTTGTAAGGCCTCGTCCGCAACTATGCTCATTAGCATAGGCAGCAGCTTTAAAGCGAGTAGAGCACGAAGTATGTTTCACACGATGTTACTTTCTTTTTTTTTCATTAGCAAGTATAATTTGCCATGACTATATTCATCACTTTGAATTCCCAAATAAAGCGTGTAGCGGGTCAAACTGTTTCTAGGCAATCAATATCGTTTTATTAAGAATATTAAGAGAGAAAAAACTTAAAGCTGTGTGAATGGATTGAAACTACTGCTGAAGACAGAAAACTAAAACGGCAGTGTCAACGGAAAATTAGATGGGTGCACGCTCTCTGCATAAACGGAAACGATGGCTTTGTTTATTTGGCCCATGTCGACGAGCAACATAGAAAACTAAAACGGCAGTGTCAACGGAAAATTAGATGGGTGCACGCTCTCTGCATAAACGGAAACGATGGCTTTGTTTATTTGGTCGATGTCGACACCCAACAGATTTCCTGTACTCACTACCTCGCCTGATCACCGGCCCTCAACGGTCTCGCGTATCGGTGTCGTCATCGGTTAAGTAGTTGAAACTCTTTTGCGTTGATGCGAATATTTCAGCCTAATCGTCCTTTTCCAACCACTCGGGAGGTTGGTCATGATATGACCTAGACGTACTTGCAGTCTGTTGCGATTCTGATGAAAAATTTTCGAAAAATAAATATAAATTGCGTAAACGAAGTCTTACAACTCCAAGATGGCGATAACGTTACACCGTAAGTAGGCAGTCAAAACCAATGTGCACGTTACACTATTTAATTTTTCTAGCCAGCGGTGTGATGTGTCTAATCACCGTAAACCATGTGTCATTTGTTTGGTCCCACAATTTGTCTTCCATGTGCTTGCCGATCACCGAACAGTGCGGCATGTCGCCGGTACATAGTGTTTACACACTTTTTTTACCGTACCATTTTCACCATTTAAAACTTTTTTATTCATAAGGCAGGCGGTGAACATCGACCATTGGGATTCGCGCTGTTCGAGCCACCAACCAATAGGAATCGTGCTCTTCGCAGAGTGACACTGCGATCCTGTCGTAGAGTGCAATAATCAACATTTGGCGAGTAGCACAATCACATCGCAGAGTTAGTTTTTAGACCCCCATACATACATGCCCTCCCATACACTTGAGACAGGTAACTTATCTGTTGGGCTGGTAAAAATTAAAACGTGCTTGCATCAAAAATAGAAAAATAAAAACCCAGTGAATAATTACTGCATTCAAAGTATATAAAGTAATTTGGAATGGGAAGTTTTTGAAAATGATCTTTAATGCAGGATGGGTAATTTTCTGGCAGGGTTGGTAAAGTTTAAGGTTACCTGCCTTGGTATCTGGTACATAATTTTGAGAAATTTCAAACACTGATAAAAAACTCTGCTGCTCTGCTGTTGTAAAATAGTAGTATTTAGTAGTCTCATCAGAATGCCATTTTTAAACTACTCTATTTATTTTTTCTGATCTGTTATTGTCTCTTCTGGCTGGTCTTTACACACATCACAAACACTACGCAATTCGTTCACCCACAATATGGCAGCCACCCCTTGACACAAAGCGTAGTTACAGTGGGTGATATATTCACATTTGTTTGTTGGCACTTTTCGTCAATACTATAAAGTGTGCCCTCTAGTGACATGTTGCTTCTGGCACTTCATTGTAATACCGTACTCGACCGCGTTAGCGCCCAGAGGCTTCAACTCAGAAAATCACGATTTTTTAGGGCTGGGCGCTTACCCGAGCATCCCCCTCGAAAAACTGTGCAAATGAAAAATTTGATTCATCAAGTGACAGATTACGTCTTTGAGGGAAAATCAAATTACGAAATTAGTTGAGTCGTCATTGATTTTCACAATGAAGAAACAGAAATGATCGCAAAAAATATGCACATTTTATTACAATATTAATTACGTACCACCAGAATTTACGAAATTAAAAACATTTGAGTCTGTTGGAACACAGTCGAAGTCAAAATTGTTGGATCGTATGCAAACTCTTGATGAAAATCACTTTCCGCCATGATGCATTTGCATTTGACCTGCAGCAGCGTCCTTTGACCTAATGGGTCAAGTTGGTTATTTACCAATCAGAATGCTGTGTGTACTGACGCAATTCTTCGGAAATTCCCGAAAACTTTCCGGTAACGCAATGCGGAAGTGAATTATCGATGTCGAAGTACGATCTGTTGGAATTGATTTATACAAATAAACGACATGGTTTTTCAAAAAAACTAGTACCGTAACTAGCCATTTTTGAGAGGTAAACTGAATATGTCATGAAATATTTACCGCATTTTACTTGTATTAACAGGTCATTGTCGAAGCGTAGTTTATGCACCGTTACCGTGTTCCACGCATTCACAACATGTTCACAGCGGTCGATATCCACGCTGTATCATATAAAAACAATTACCAAGATTCGTTACGCAAGACCAAGTCTTAAATTAGTTTCATTTTGAAGGGGTGGGCGCTTTGCCGAATGTGACCCCAAATATAAAAATTGCGAAAAGTGGGGGGTGGGTGCTTGCCCGCGCATGGGTGCTAATGCGGTCGAGTACTGGTACATCATTCAAAATGTCGACTATGTTCGGTTATATAGTGGTTCATCATTAAAAAATTTAGTAAACCTCTCAAAAACTTTAAGCGGGGAGTCATCACCTGCGCAAGCGTCAGATGGTTATAGCTAATCATTGTTTAAAAACGAGTGTCTACCCACGAGCCTTTGCGTTTTTAGCACGTGTTGTTATCGTCACTTGGGATTCAATTCCTGCATATGCGCAGATGACAACCTTTCCGCTTTTATTTTCATTGATGAACATAATACCAACACTTTGATCACCATCATTTACCTCACAGAAGCATGTCATAACTAGAGGGTGCAAGTTATAAGAAACGTGTATTGTTCAAGCTTACTGTTTCTGTTTTATCCATTTCAGGTCTGTTCATTTCTTATAATTGTGTTTTTTCCACAGCCTTGGTAGTGGGATTCGTGATGACTATAAGTAACTATTGTTTTTGTGCTGCTTTGATTGTCTTCTTTATAACTGGATCAAAGGTTACTAAGTTTAAAGCAGAGAGGAAAAGACAAATAGATCCTCAATACCAGGAAGGTAAGTTTTCCTTGTATATTATTAGCTTCATGGGAAGCACATATGGTTTAAATCCAGGTCCGAGCAGGTTAATATGGTTAACATCAAAGTAATACAGAGGGTATTATGGTAATTCTAGATCCTGGCAGGGTAATATGGTTAACATTCAGACTCTGGGAGGGTAATATGGTTAACATACATGATTTGGAATGGTAATATAGTTAACATACAGGTCCTAGGGGGGGGGGGTAATATGGTTAATATCTAAGTCCTGAGAAAATGATATGGTTAACA